GCTTGTGGGGGTGGGGTGGGGGGGTGAGCCGGGGCCTCGGCGCTTCCGTCTCCTTTCCCCGCGGTGCGGTGCGGTGTGGGTGGGCCTGGCCCTCCTCTTCCCACTCCGGCCTCCCCACCGCTGGCAGAGACGTCGCTTCGCGCTTTTGTCTTTGACAAGATGGGTCTGGTGTCTGTGGGAGGGATTCTGTGTGTGTGTGTGTGTGTGTGTGTGTGTGTGTGTACTTTAGCATTGGCATTGGGGTGTGTGTGAAGGCGAGAGCATCATCATCATCATCATCATCATCATCTGCAGTTCAGTCATCACCCCCCCCAAAGATTACGTGTGTCGTTTCTAATCCAAAAAAACCCACAATCATCATCCTGCCTACGCCACCCCACAAAAGTGAAAACTTGCCTCTTTCCCACTCGTTTTATATCCATTGGCTGCTCCCAAGGAGACGTCGCTCCTCTTCCTGACAGATTCTCGTGGTTGCTGTCATCTGGCCTAGGGTGCAGGAATTTAGAAAGACGAACTCTTTCCTATAGGCACCTTATCATCGAGGGTGGTGCAGAGGACACCTGCCCAATAGCTTACCTTGTAGCCGTTTTAAAATAGGTGGCTGTTAGTCTGTTTTAACTTACAGGTTTATTGCATTCAGAAGTGCCCCAAGACTTTTTTTCCTGGTATATGTTCCCTATGTCAAATGTTAGCCAGATATGCAGCTCTTGATGGTACCAGAAATACTGGCTGGGGAAAAAAAGGGAGGTAGTCCATTTGTTGATAGCACTTGGGCTATTCATTTGGGTGTGAAGCCTGATTGCTTAACTCTTCTGGCTCACATCCTGAATCAGGAAAGAATGCCATCCTGAACTAGAAGTCATGCAGCTGGTATGCTGAGGAATATGCTGAGGAGACAGAATGAATGGCAAGTATATCTTTTGAGTGGTAGGCACAGACACACATTTACTATGTGCTACTTTTGTATCCTTCCAGCAGAACACCAATACACAAAACAAAGGGTTAGGCTTGAATTTCTCTTCTTGATGTGCTAGCTTTCAGATGCAGGGAGTTTTTAAACAAAGGAGGCCTGAATTCCAAAATGCTGTGTGTTTAAGGGAAGTGGTGTTCACAGTTTTTCTGGCTGTTTGTTGCACACCTGAGCACGTAGCTAAATGAACTGCATATATCTGACCATGTGATGGAGAGCTGCAACAAACATTCAGACTGGTATGCAATTTTGGATTTGTACTGCATAAGCCCAACACGATTTTGGTCAAACTTCAACAGTAGAATCTCTCTCTTGTCATTTAAGTGAGACAGACCACCTATGTGGATCCGGTTCATTCCCCTTTGTTCTGATGCTAATACATTAAGGAAGCAAAAAAGGAGAATCCTAGCTGGGGCTAATTGTACCTGATTACATGTAGGAAGTGCCTGAGTAATAGAAAATGTTCAACTGTCTTGAGTATTTAGTGATACCTGTAGACTGTGAATGATGCCCGCTTTCATTAGAATGTTAACTGCTGAGATAAAGGTTACCTGTTGGTGTCCAGGGTGAATTTGATTAAAATTAAATTGATTTAAAACTGGTTCAAAATTGAAATTGTGCTGAGTTCAGCAGGTTTTCTCTAAGTATGATTAAGCCCGGATCTTATGCAAAGGGGAAGGGGTGACATAGATACAACTAAACTTATAGAGCAGTAGTAAATACAGTCATATGTTGCATAAGCACATTCTTTTAGAGAACAACTAACCATCTTGTTTGTCTTGCCTGGTGACTCACCCATCTCCTTCACTCATTGGCAGCCCTGTTCTGTTGCACTTGTTCATCTTGACAAACTAACTGCTTTGTTTGTCTCCTCTGCTCATTTGCTTAGTTGAAATAGATCAAAAGTGCTGGAGATTTACTAAACAGGATGAAACATTTGATTAGTTCACACAGATGTTTATTTTAAATAACTTTTATTTTTGCATCTTTCTTTTATCTATTAGAAACTAAGTTATTGGAAAATATACATTTTGCCTTCTCATGTCAGAGAGATTGATTTAAATTGCACACCATGAACATTTGTTTGGAAACCAGTGCACTGAATTCCTTTGTAAACATGCATAGGATGGTACTGTTGGAGTTTCGGTGGAAAATGTAGAGTGGCAACTATGAGGTGAACATTTTCTGACATACATTGCTTGGGAGGACTAGCTTTTGGTGGAAAATGTCAGATGCTAGAATAGGTTTTCCAGGGAAAACTTTGAGCAACCTGTTAACTGCTTGTCAGGTGAAGATGTATAAATAAAGACTTGTAGTTTTTCTCTGAGATCAGCTTAAATGTCAAGTCGCTCCCTTTGTTAATAAATGTAGTTTACTTAGAGATTCAGCTTGAGCAGCTTGGAATAAGTTGGTGAGTCCAAGGTGTTATATTGTTCTTGTCCCTTTGCTTTATTATTTTCTATCGTAACTTCTGAAAAAAATAAAGGTAAATAAAAGTAAAGGTAGACTTTATATCCTAAAAAGCAGGTGTAAAGCAAAATGTTATGGTTGAACTTAGATCCCCCTCCAAGAAAGGAAATGTAGACAACAGATCAACCATCCTTCTTGCTCAAAACACTGGAACGTGAATGCAGCCACCAGTACATTAACTTTCACTCCAAGTAATACTACAGCATGGCCCCACTGCCTATCCCTTAATATAATGCAAAAGCTGGAAATAACCATACCATAGGTATTAACAGTGTTAAGATTTGTAAACAGGAAATGACATTACAATCCTATCCAGAGTTATATAATCTTCACTAGTCCAGTCCAATTTATCTGATTTTGGAGGAAGTGGATCTTTTAGTGTTTAATAGGTTTAGTCCTAAGTAAGCAGAGCCTTTTTCTCTTTAGGGAACAAGAGGCTAGAATCCTTTTGCTGGTGTACAGGAAACAGTGTAACTTTGGAGGCAGACCTCAAGTTAAGAAATTTCTGTAGACATCTGTAGAGTTTATGTGCAACTCAGCAAGCAACATATAACATCTATAGAGATTTCTTAAATTGAAGCAGTTTACCTCCAAAAGGAATGTGGTGGCACTGCGGGTTAAACCGCAGAAGCCTCTGTGCTGCAAGGTCAGAAGACCAGCCGTTGTAAGATCGAATCCACACGACGGAGTGAACTCCCGTTGCCTCTCCCAGCTCCTGCCAACCTAGCAGTTTGAAAGCATGTAAAAATGCGAGTAGATAAAGAGGTACCACCTCAGTAGGAAGGTGACAGTGTTCCGTGTCTAGTCGCGTTGGCCACGTGACCACGGAAACTGTCTACGGACAAACGCTGGCTCTACGGTTTGGAAACGGAGATGAACATTGTGCCCTAGAGTTGGACACGACTGGACTAAATGTCAAGGCAAACCTTTACCTTTACCTCCAAAAGGTATGTCATTTCTGGAGCTGTATCACAGGATTTGGGTCAGATCCTTAACATCATTGGACCTCATCTCTTGTGTATGTTAGGTGTAAAATGTAAGAAGGATATATTAATGTGCTATCTCTATAGTCTGAATTTATTTAATTTTAGCGGTTGTAGCTTCCACTATAATTTATTGTTTTTTTCTCTCTCTTTCAGAAGTAAAATATCAGAGAAATACTGTTATTGGGTTAAATACCACAATCCATGTAGGGGTTAGGCCAACCAAACAGGCACAGGAAAGTGTGCAATTTTTCAGGCTCTCTACAACAGGCAAGATACTACAGAAAGGAGATGAAGGGACAGGGAGAGAAAAGTGGGGCTTGATTTTAAAGGTGTGTAATTGAGTGTTGTCTTGAAATGTAGTTGAATACGAATGGTCTGCAGATATTCAAAAGTGGCTGATTGGGTAGTGCCATCATGTCAGTTTTCACTACCTGTCATCCTTAGAATTGCTGGGAGCCAGGATATTTGGTCCTCCATTTATGGAAAATAAAACATTCAAAACTTTCTCTATCCTTTTTAAAGCTCACATACTTCATTACTGATGATGAGCAGAAAAAAGTCATGCAGGCTTCAAATTGATAAAGCTGGACATACTTTAAATGCCATATTAGGCAAAATAAGTAAAGAGAATCAAACTGCATTGTTTACCTAATGGTAAAATAAGTGGAACTCCCAGAATGTGAAAACCCACTTTCAGGTGGTATATATTCCTCTAATATGAGATTTCACAGCTAAATGGCTAAATATGCTATTCTCCAAGTCCTACCAAAAGCTATGTTGCCCTTCAGAAAATAGTTCACAATTCTTCTTTGTGGGGGAGTGGGGTGGAATCACACTGATTTTTTTAAAATTTCATTAGGCGGCCTAAATATATTTTCATTTAGTAAATCACAATTTGGCCCTCAAACTCAATTGTTAGCATGATAGCCACCACCAAGCTCTGACTGCCAAAAAGGAAATCAATTAGTATTTTGCTGAAAACACTGTCAGCTTTGTGACTCCTGATTTTGTACTCAGTTCAGTTGTTCTTCATACTTAGTACTGTTCTTTGGATCTCTTTCAGGGCAATATTTTGCACCAATTACAAGGGCAAAAAGCTACATCCTCTCTATTAGTCTGGCACTCTAGTCATCCAGTTGCATGGCTTATCACTGCTTCACAGCTGCTAAGTCTTGGTGTGTATTAACATCCCTGGAACACTTGGACCACTATGGCAACAAGCTACACACCTCCATTTGATGACCCTGGAGAGGTGAGAGAGGGCTTTTTGTGTCCGCTGTGTCTGAAGGACCTGCAGTCATTTTATCAGCTTCAGTCTCATTATGAGGAAGAACATTCAACTGAAGACAAAGACGTCAAAGGACAACTGAAAAGTAAGAAATGCCTTAAGTCTGTGTTATAAATTGTAGGACAATTCTCAGTGTTTATGATTTATGGTAACAAATGATTGGTAAGATTATAGAATAACTTATTTGTAGCAGTTCAAGCTTTTGAGTTATACAAAATTCTTAACTAGGACTAACAGAAAGTATAATGGCAGTTGAAAAAAAGGCAATAACTCCAGCAGTCATTATTTACTTCTAATGCTTAATAGCGGCTGCTATAATTTTCTTTAAGATAGTAATGGACATCGAGTTATATAATCTTGCACCCAGAGAAATTTCCATAAATTGAACTAAAGTTATTAAGGTAAGATATTTGAGATACCCTAAATCTATTTCCAAAATCAATGTATCATTTTATTATACAGTGTCTTTAAAGATCTATGATTCTGTTGATGCTAGCAGCAGCTAATGTCTGTATAACGCAGGTATAATAGGGCACTCAGATATTTTGCCATGGGCAGTTAATAGGACACTCACATTAGAATGCAAATAATTTGACAAATCTTTCTTTCCTCTCTAGCTCAATAGGAAAGGAAGACAATCGTTTGAGAACCAATGGAGGATTATTTAATGAAGGAAGAACTTGCCTTTTGAGAGGCAAACCAAAAATAAAACTTAGCTGTCTTTGATCTCAGACAGAGATTTGAGGTTTACTGAATAGTGGAGAAGATAGGTGAATGTGAAAACAAATTTAACATACTCCCCTACATACTGTGGTCAAACAACTAGCACTCGTCAGCCAATGATACTGATGATATAGCTAGTTATCACCTATACATGGAAAGAGTCAAGCTGTCACTGTGTTAAAGAATGTTTCCATTGCCATACCCTGTTATTCTCAGTTACTATGCTTGTCAATGGTTGACATGTTTATAGTCTTGCATTTTATAGTCTTGCATTTTTTCACTATATGTCTGTGTGTGTGTGTATACACACATACATATACATTTATATATACATTTATATATACATTGTGTGACATATATAATGTGATATAATACAACAGACCATAAACATGCAACCACTAACCACTGAGGTGCATGAAGCATGAGCATCGTAATAGGCACCAAGGATCCTTGCAGATCAGAGTTTGAGTCCTTTTATACTTAGGATGTAAATGTTATTTTTGTGTAAAGATCACTGTGTTCTTCACAGAAAACGTCATTTGCATGAAATACAAGATTTTTAATGCAAAATACAGGTTTCTTGCAAAAATAGATTTTTTTTCCATTTTGGTGAATGCTATTGTTGGCAAAAATATTAGTCCTGATATTTTCACTCTTGTGCAGGAGTAATATCTTCCAGCAGTTACCCATTTTTCAACAGGGCAAAGGAAAATCTACATGTATTCATTATTTTGTTGTTTCACAAGTGTAGATAACACGTTTCCCTGAAAATAAGACCTAACCTGAAAATAACTCCTAGTATGATTTTGAGGATGCTCGTAATATAAGCCCCACACCAAAAATAAGCCCCAGTTAAGTGAAACCCCACCTTCTACCATTGTACAGCAACCAGAAGAAGTTGACATGACTGTATTTAAATAAATGTAGATTGTTGAACGTGAAAAAAAAATGCCCTGAAAATAAGCCCTAATATAAGACCCTATCTTATTTTTGGGGAAACACAGTAGTTGTAACAGGTAGATATATGGGCGGGGAGGGGGCATTTTGGTTATAAGTGTCTTGGGATAAGAATTTATCATACCTGTTTGTTGAAAAGTGCACAGAGGTGGTGGTATATGTAATAATTCAGAACAGCCAGCTTTACAGCTCACTAGGAACTGAGTATATAGAGGCGGCTCAGGGGTTTCTCTTGAAGAATATTTAAGATCTAAAGAGTGTTCCTATGATGGGAAGAAGCATTTTGTCAGGACAAGTGATGAGGGAAGCTGCAGTTACACATTTACAAAATGGAAAACAGTGGCATCTTCTGTAGCTCAATGAGAAAGGCAAAGTAAAGAAAGATTAGGAACTTGTTTTTTGCAAGGCAAAATGAAAATAAAAGCTGTGCTGTCTTCAGTGTGAGACAGAGATTTGAGGTTTACCAAGTAATGGGAAAAATAGGTGAACATCACTATAGAGAAGGTATATTTGCTTGAATAGCGTAACTTTTTTGCTGTTTTAATGCCTGTTCATTGAATATGACCAACAACAATTTCATTCATTTTTAGGGTGGGAAGAGGAGGAAAGGGGAAGGAGTTAATAAGCTGCCTAGAGTGGTCGAAATGACTAGATAGGCGGGGTATAAATGCAATAAACAAATAAACAAATAAACAAACAAATAAATAAATAGTAGTGCTTAAGTGCACTTGTGAGCCAGAGTTGCAAAGGATGTGCAGTGGTACTTCTACTACATGCCTTTTCACTTGTGTGAATTCAGTTTCAAATTTTGAGGTGATATTTCTTAGGAAATTCTTAGAATATTTCTTTCTCTAGGTAGTAAGTAAAGGAAACAAGTTGGTATATGTTGATATGTGATTACTCTTACTACCAAATGTGGTAAAAATAGTGTCTGTTTTCTAATAGATTCTTGGAGCTAATTTCCATAATAACATTTTGATATACATATAATAAGAATATGGCAGTGCTTCAAGAATGTCTTGTATTAGAAGTTTGTATGTTGCTGCTGCCAGGTACATGGATGTCATCAGTCTGTTTCAAGAGTGCAGCTGATTGTCATGGTGATTTTGACGTATTAACCCTTGATTGATTATGCCTTCACAGATTCACGATTATTATCAGGAACATTCCCATGGGATGAAATGTGGCATGCAAACAGCATTTAGAGGCCATATGATTTGGATATGCAAACTAGTAACAAAAATGCAGAACAGTTTTGATTATAAAATTAAATAAGAAATGTATGTACAGTAGCAAATTATTGGGCATTTTTCTGTTTAAAATAGCTAAGCACTCTATATTCTGTTCACACTCAATTGCAGAAAGCAAGTGATTGTGTTAAAGTATTAATTTCCGTCACTTGTTTCAAGTTATTTCCTAGCTCTCTGAAGGCTATTAAATGCGTCATCGTTGTACCTTTAAAGTGCTTTCATCTTCTGATTTGTCCACTGTTCTGTTTCACAAATTGGTTTCCAAATGAAGCCTTTTTAGGATACAAATATTCCTGTGAGCTGCCAGTAATTGAATGGATGGGCTAACTGGCACATTTGTATTCCCACCAGGTTGGATCAAGTAGGAGTATATCAGACTTATGTTCTTATGTGAATTGCTTACATAGATTTTCTCAACTTCAAAACTTCTTCCAAATTGCTTTTTTCTAATACTGATCATTCCTTTTTACAGGTAAATAAAATAGGGCTCATGTTCCATGGATGCAGGAGATGGGGGCTGAATAGTCACATATGTTGCCCAAAGTCTCCTGGGTAAACAAGAACATTCAAGAGAAAAGAGACAACTTTTACAAATATAGCTTATGAGTGTGTTATATGTGCCATTTGTTCATCTTTCAGATCTTGTCCAAAAAGCTAAAAAAGCAAAGAACAAACTGTTGAAACGAGATGATGACCGAACTGACGGGGGGCCTCAGGAGCGTTACGAATCTTACAGCTATGGTGGAGTGGATCCATATATGTGGGAGCCCCAAGAATTAGGTATGCAGTAACAAATTTGCTTCATTGTTCACTGGAAAGAGTCCTGATAAGCCTGTAGAGTCAATACACAATGGCTGAAATTCTGTTGCACCGCTGTGTGTGTGTGTTTGTGTGTGATGGTGGTGACATGAGCAGCAGCAAATCCCTGCTGATTAAAAGCTTCCATTGGCAGTTTTGGGATACATGTAACTTTATCACATTGGGTACAAGTCATGTGCACGCCGAAATCATCTTAAATCATCAGTGATCTGCCTTTAATCAGTAGTAATTTGCTGCTGCTGCTCCTGGCATCACCATAGCTGTGTATGTAGAAGTGTGCAGCAGGATTTCAGCAAGGATGTAAAGCTTTTAAATAAATCGTCTAAGGTGAAGGGATTATTTAAATACCTCAACCATAGCCCAATGTAAATGTTTCTTTTGAGTTAAGGTTGCTTGGTTAGTGTTATACTGAAATGTGACTTGGGTTTCTGTTGCAGTCCAAATATAAAATGTAACAGTATGTTGTACCATTGATTGTTTTTAAAATGCACTGTGGCTGGCAGATCTGCTTTCAGTGTAGCATTCCCCAGCCACTCTCAAAGTACCTTTGAGAAAGGGGATGAAGTTGCCTTCCTTATTACCATGTTTTATACAGACAGTAAATACTGTTTTGGTCCATCAGATTTATATTTGTTGTTGTTGTTTAGTTGTTAAGTTCTGTCTGACTCTTTGTGACCTCATGGACCAGAGCATGCCAGGCCCTCCTGTCTTCCACTGCCTCCCAGAGTTTGGTCAAATGTATGTTGGTCGTTTTGATGACACTGTTCAACCATCTTGTCCTCTGTCATCCCCTTCTCCTCTTGCCTTCACACTTTCCCAACATCAAGGTCTTTTCCAGGGAGTCTTTTCTTCTCATGAGATGGGCAAAATATTGGAGCCTCAGCTTCAGGATCTGTCCTTCCAGGGAGCAGTCAGGGTTGATTTTCTTGAGAACGGATAGGTTTGTTCTCCTTGGAATCCAGGGGCCTCTCAAGAGTGTCTTCCAGCACCACAATTCAAAAGCATCAATTCTTCGGCAGTCAGCCTTCTTTATAGTCCAGCTCTCACTTCCATACATCACTACTAGAAAAATTTCATGGCTGCTGTTACCATCTGCAGTGATCATGGAGCCCAAGAAAGTAAAATCTGTCACTACCTCCATATTTTCCCCTTCTAGTTGCCAGGATAGATATCTTCCCCTTCTATTTGCAATGATAGATATCTTCCCCGTCTATTTGCCAGGATAGATATCCTAGCAATTTGTTCTCTGGTTCCTCTGCCCCTTCGAAATCCAGCTTGTACTTTTGGGAGTTCTCGGTCCAAATACTGCTGAAGCCTACCTTGTAGGATTTTGAGCAAAACCTTGGTAGCGTGTGAAATGAGTACAATTGTATGGTAGTTGGAGCATTATTTGGTGCGGCCCTTCTTTGGGATTGGGATGTAGATTGATCTTTTCCAGTCCTCTGGCCACTGCTGAGTTTTCCAAACTTGCTGGCATATTGAGTGTAGCACCTTAACAGCGTCATCTTTTAAGATGTTAAATAGTTTGACTATCACCTCCACTGACCTTGTTGTTAGCTATGCTTTCTAAGGCCCCCTTGACTTCGCTCTCCAGTATAACGCCTCTGTGTATTCTTACCACCTCTTCTTGATGTCTTCTGCTTCTGTCAGGTCCCTACCATTTTTGTCATTTATGATGTCCATCTTTGCACAAAATGTTCCTTTAATATCTCCAATTTTCTTGAACAGATCTCTGCTTTTTCCTTTTCTATTATTTTCCTCTATTTCTTTGTTTGTTTAAGAATGCCCTCTTGTCTCTCCTTGCTATTCTTTGGAAATCCACATTCCATTTTCTGTAACTTTCCCTATCTCCCTTGCATTTTGTTTCCCTTCTTTTTTCTGCTATTCTTAAGGCCTCATTGGACAGCCACTTTGCTTTCTTGCATTGCCTTTTCTTTGGGATGTTTTTGTTGCTACCACCTGTACAATGTTCCAAGCTTCCAGCCATAGTTCTTCAGGCACTCTGGCCACCAAATCTAGTTCCTTAAATCTGTTCTTCACTTCCATTGTATATTAATAAGGGATTTGGTTTAGATTATACCTGACTTTTGTTGTTGTTTAGTCATTTAGTCGTGTCTTTGTGACCCCATGGACCAGAGCACGCCAGGCCCTCCTGTCTTCTATACCTGAATAACCCAGTGGTTTTTCCTACTTTCTTCAGTTTAAGCTTGAGTTTGCTATAAGAAGATGATGATCAGAGCCACAATCAGCTCCAGGTCTTGTTTTTGCTGACTCTGTAGAGCTTTTCCATCTTTGGCTGCAGAGAGCATAATCAATCTGATTTCGGTATTGCCCATCTGGTGATGTCCATGTGTAGAGTCACCTCTTGTGTTGTTGGAAAAGAGTGTTTGTGATGACCAGTTTGATCTCTTGTCAAAACTCTATTAGCCTTTGCCCTGCTTCATTTTGAACTCCAAGACCAAACCTACCTGCTGTTCGTTTTATCTCTTGACTCCGTACTTTAGCATTCCAGTCCCCTATAACGAGAACATCTTTCTTTGGTTTCAGTTCTAGAAAGTGTTGTAAGTCTTCATAGAATTGGTCAATTTCAGCCACTTCAGCATCAGTGGTTGGTGCATAAACGTGGATTGCTGTGATGTTGAAAGGTCTGCCTTGGATTCGTATTGAAATCATTCTATCATTTTTGAGATTGTATCCCAGTACAGCTTTTCCCACTCTTTTGTTGATTATGAGGGCTACTCCATTTCTTCTACGGCATTCTTGAGGAAAATAGTAGATATGATAATCCTCTGCATTGAATTCGCCCAGTCCTGTCCATTTTAGTTCACTGACGTCCATGATGTTGATGTTTATTCTTGCCATCTCCTGTTTGACCACATCCAGCTTCCCAAGGTTCATTGATCTTACATTCCAGGTTCCTATGCAGTATTTTTCGCTACTCCATTTCTTCTACGGCATTCTTGAGGAAAATAGTAGATATGATAATCCTCTGCATTGAATTCGCCCAGTCCTGTCCATTTTAGTTCACTGACGTCCATGATGTTGATGTTTATTCTTGCCATCTCCTGTTTGACCACATCCAGCTTCCCAAGGTTCATTGATCTTACATTCCAGGTTCCTATGCAGTATTTTTCTTTGAAGCATTGGACTTTCCTTTCACTTCCAGGCATGTCTGCAGCTGAGCGTCTTTTTGGCTTTGGCTCAACCACTTGATTAGCTCTGGAACTACTTGTCCTTGTCCTCCACTCTTCCTAGTAGCATGTTGGATGCCTTCTGACCTGAGCGGCTCATCTTCCAGCATCCTCTCTCTATATGTTTTCCTTAATGTCCTGTACTGCAGAGGAAGGCCAGTCTGTCACACACAACAGGCACACTATCGGACATCAGCAGCTGCTTCCACAACTTTCATTCTGTGTGCAGTATTACCCTACAGCAGGATCCCCAACCTTGGGCCTCCAGATATTCTTGGACTTCAACTCCCAGAAATCCTGGCCAGCAGAGGTGGTGGTGAAGGCTTCTGGGAGTTGCAGTCCAAGAACATCTGGAGGCCCAAGGTAGGGGACCACTGCCCTACAGGATTGTAGAAAAAAAGGTTTAGTAGTTTGCAGTTGACTGGATTTTTAACATTGATGTCATAATTTTAGTGGGTTACATGTAATTTCAGCCTGAGCACCGAAAAAAGAGTAAAACAATACATTTACCAAGAATGTAAAATTGAATGACTCTAAAAATTCCATGGTTTTTTTTCTGCTTACCAGGTGCCACGAGGAGTCATCTTTCTGAGTTTAAGAAACATAGAGCAGCCAGAATTGATCACTATGTGGTGGAAGTCAATAAATTAATAATCAGGTTAGAAAAGGTAAATAGGTTGCTTTTTGGCATGCATCACCACTGTGCACAAGTCCTCTTTGAACCATCAATGTTTGCCACAGTATTGCTTCTGATATGTAGGTTTGTGCTGCTTTTCCAAATCGTCGTTCAGCTGCTTGGGTGGTGTTCATATGTTTCTTGATGTGTTTCACTAGTTTTATGATTTAACTGTATTTTATTTAATTTTCATTGGGCACTTTGAGTTCCATTCTTTAGGGGAAAGGCAGGTTGTAAGTTCAGTATAATCTTCTGTGTGATGTTGAATATAGAAGATCCAACTCTGTTTTATACTGTCTTCCTTAAAATTGTCAAAGAACAAATGTATTAGACTCAAGAGATATCTAAGCACAAAAGTTCCATCTTGTGGTCCAAACATTTCCCACCAGGCACTAAATAAACAGTGGAATACTGGAGGGCCATCTTATTTCCCAAACAGTTGTTCACACCATTTTGAGCTTATGTTTCTTTTTGCATTTGTAGAACTCTTGCTTTTGAATCTTTGCCTTTTGCTTTTCATAGTTGCAAATTGTAAAAATTATTTGACTTCTATAATATGGAGCTTTCTCTGAATCTGCTTCCCTTTTTCTGTTCATTTCCCCCGCTGTGTGTATTTCTAAGCTAGATTTGAAAAAGATTTTCAGGGCAAATATCCATTTTGAATGGAAATTTTAAAGCTGTAACTACTACTGCTACTACTACTGCAGGTACAGCAAATACAGTGTCAGAATCCAATTGGTGATTTATGCTTACATAAATGTGATGGCATAGGTCATGGGGACAAATTGCTGTGAATTAATAAGGTGCTCATTGTGTTCCTGGCTGTGTGTCCAGTTACGCAGTGAGTGTGTGCCTGGGATACAACCTGGACCTTGTCAGTTAGCAATAATTTGCTGTGGCACTTGGGAGTGGTTATCTCAGTCGTTTAGGTATCTAGCTGCAGAGCTAGAGGCTAGGAGTTCAATCCCCCACTGCCTTCTTGACAGGGGCTAGAATTGATGATCCATAGAGTCCCTTCCAGCTCTGCAGTTCAAATATCTTATTCTTATTATCTATGCATGCGTATGTCACTGATTGGATTCTAGTCAGTAGATACAGCATTATTTGGAAAAGCACTTTAGTGAAGTGTTTTAGAAGTTTGCAATGTGTCTGACTCATGTGACTGTTCTCTTTGGTCAGCTTACATCCTTTGACAGAAGCAATACTGATTTGGCAAAGATAAGAGGTAAGTGTACTTGACGTTTGCTAATTTTTTCTGCTATGAACCTCACTGATGATGTTTGATAGGTTTCTTATTCTGTTACAGCAATAGAGAAGTCTGTTGTGCCGTGGGTCAATGACCAGGATGTCCCATTTTGTCCAGATTGCGGGAGTAAGTTCAGCATACGGAACAGACGTCACCACTGCCGTCTCTGTGGCTCTATCATGTGTAAAAAATGTATGGAGCTTGTCAGCCTCCCCTTTGCGAGTGAGTATAGTGATTTGCTGCTAATGCTTTAAACCCTGTTCTTTGTTGAATTCTGGTTCAGAGCTATTCTGACATTGGCTGAAATTCTGTTCGTAATTTATATATATGTATCTATTAACCTGTTTCTTAGGTTCTGTGCCCCCTGTGACTCGCACATATGGGTTTTGCCCCTGTGCAGAGCAGTTTTAAGGATGTTCGAGTAGCTTTAGCCATTTCGTTACCCCTATTTGCCTTTGCATATGACTTTGTATGCTAGTTTTCTCTCATCTATTGTGCAAACAGCAGTCAGATGACTAATGTTTTTTCTTAATTGGTCTTTATAGGTAAACTCACTACTGCCAGCAAAGAGGTTCTGGCCTCTCATACTAGCCCAAACTGCTCACCCAACAGCATCCAGGGTTCACGCCGTGGCAGCATCAGTAGTGTAAGCAGTGTGAGCTCTGTCCTTGATGAGAAAGATGATGATCGTATACGTTGTTGCAGACATTGTAAAGATACTTTACTCAAAAGAGAACAACAGATTGATGAGAGAGAGTACACACCAGATATTGTGAAACTATATGAGGTAAAAGAATACTTTAAAACAAAGATAGTGAGTGAAATGGGATTTGTTGCCAGTAATTTATATCATTCTGTATTATGATTTAGGTAGTATAGTAATTGCCTTCTTAGTGCTCAATATGCATTCCAAGAAAATGGAAATGGAAAATCAGTGCCAAGTGGCATCATTTTAAGATTACATCTTATGCCAAGAGTTCTAGAAATCCAGTCTACCTTTTGTATGGAACAGATATACCAGACCCCAAGTCTCACAGAGGCCTGGGTTACCTTCTCTAGGTAGACTGGTGCCTGATGAAACACCACAAAATGGCTGCTCTGACCCTGTGTTCTGTAAGCACTATATGGAGCCATCTTATGTAGGGTATTATTGCATCTGCTATAACTGTTAGCTTTAAAAGCAAACAACAGGGTGTGTACTGATGAGAAGGGTTGGTTTGGAGCCTGATTAGATGCTTCTGAAGACAGCATACATCAGTTTGGATCCTCTCAAGACTAATTGATTTGGCTGAATCAGAACTTTGCTTCCAGATATCTAAAGTATTGTGATTGCCTATTGATTGTTTTTTAAAGGTGAACTGCCCATAATTTTTATATTTCTTTGCAGAACATAAGTCAAATTTTCCATTGTACAAAACATAGCTATACCTTATTTTATGGGTGTAAAGGCACCAGCTTAGAAGGAACTATATACATAGGAAGAAATTACATGTTGAATCCTAAATTTGTAAACCTATTATTATGAGAGTAGGTTATTTTTTTTAGGCTGGTAACGCCCTGACTTGATCAGATAAGGAGTTTGTCCTACTTAGCACATAGAAAATTTTCTCCTTCCTGCAAAGATGATGATGATTTTTTTCCTACCAGTTTCAATGTAGAGAAGTTAGACTATAAAAACACTTGGTTGCCCAAATCTTGGTAGCCCTCTGCCATGGGAGGGAGGGCCCACCATCTGGCCTCTGAGAACCATGCCCAGCTGGACTAATGGTTAGAGATGGGCATGTACCTGAAAAATTGTCATTTGTGGTCAGGTGTTTTGTTTGTTTCCTGGGCAGGGGCTATCTGTTCCTTTCACATTGGGAGAATGTACTAGTCTGATTTTTATACATACTGCCTATTAAAGCAAGAGGAAACACTTCTGCCATTCCTGGTACGAAAAGAACCTCTTGGGGTAGTCAGAATTCTGTTCATTGTCTGAGGCCTTTTTGCATTTGGTTATCTGAACTGGATAGTCAGCAACTTATTGTTACTATTAATGTTATCTTCTTCTTCTAGGTGGATTTGATTTAAATCAAATTCATTTAAATCACAATTTAAATAAAAAATTGATTTTTAAAAAAATTTAAATTGTGATTTAAATCAATCTGATTTTTAAAATCATTTTTATCCACTCTGATTATAACTTATTGTTGTTGTTTCTTATTACTATTGTTCAAGGAGAGAGAAAATAGAATACATGGTAAGCATTTTTGTATCTGAATTATTGCTGTAAATAATTTAATTTTCATCTATTGATTTTATTGATGAAACAAGAAACTTCGACTTTATATGGAAAAGGTTGATCAGAAGGCCCCGGAATATATAAAGATGGCAGAATCCTTAAAGTAAGCCTGTTCAGTTGCATTCTATAATTAATATGTCTATGTTATATTTAGGAAAAAAGACTATTGTGGTATCTGCGAGGAAAAAACACTGAAGTGATAAGCTAAATATTAATAAATGGATGATAGAAATAAAAAACAACTGATGGGTGTGATGTCAAAAGTTCTAGTCTCCAGATTCCAGTCACCAATTCCATTTTTCTTCCTCTTCCGCACACATTGGGATTCATTTTGTATCATATCCAACCTGAAGACTAATTTGAATGATTATTTGGTATTTAGTGACATCACAGTACATCTTAATAAAATTGTTACACTAGTGTTGATTTTGTGTTTTGTCTGAAGGACCACAAGTGGCCTCTTGACAAATTAATAATGAGATATGAGATATAATTCAAAATCACTTTTATATTCTGTCAAGTTTTCTAGGGATTATTTTTTTACCACAAGAGTTTTTTTGTGATGCAGTGCACAAATGTATTGGCTTAGTCTTTTATGCTGAAAGTTTATTAGTCAAAATAAGCTTTACTGCATTGTACCAGAAAATAATGGATTTTTTAAAAAATTGAATTTGTATGAAATGTATGTGTGCTGGAGAAGAATTATCTTAAAAATTTGAAAGGACAAGCACTATCAAAAGCTGTACAATGAATTAAATGTAAAAAATAAAGGCATTAGTGTGTTCAGCAGCCCCTGTAAAGCTCTGTAACTTAATTTCACTGAATAATACTTAATTTCATTGAATAATACTATAATATTGGCTACAATTTTGTAAACACTTTGTCTTTGTGTCCATACAGAGGTGTCTTATCGAGTATTTCAAGTAGTACAGTTGGACTAATCCAAGGAATTAATAGCTGTGATTTCATTTATTCACAGTCTGAAAAAATTAAAAGAACCCCACCCAGAAATATGCATTTCCATAATGTTACCAGTGTTGGCCACTAGAGTGAGGCAGATACCATATTATGCATAGGATTTGCTATTATCCACGTTTTTCAGCATCTGTGAGGTGGAATTGCAGCCAATCCCCCACAGATATGGGAGTCCTACTGTAATTCCTGTGTCATTCTACCTCACAAATCTAAAAAGAGTAGCTGGTTGCCACTGTATTATTATGCATTTTATTGAACTAAATATTTTCCAGAAGAGATAATGATGAAAATACATACAAAAACCTGTGTGATTCAGTTTTGCAGGGTGTTTTCTAGTGTTAGTGTCTTTGGGTACATCAGTGAGCAAAAAACTCATGAGATGGGCTATGAAACACCTCCCTTCCCCATAATCATGCTGTAGAGGTGAGAATGATAGTTTAGAAGCATATGAATCTGCATGTTTTTTTCTAGTGCTGGGGAGACAACCTACAGCCTTGATCATGCGAATAGTCTCAGAATGGAGGTGCAGAAAATGTACGAGTTAATAGATGCTTTAAGGTAAGTGGAAATATTTGGAAACAGAATTTGGGCAACTGTCATGCACACAGGTTAAATAAATGCTTAACAGCCCAAGGTGCTACCCAGGCATGCTTCAACTCACAGGTTTTAGTCAATAAATGTTGGTTGTAATGACAGTAAGTAGGCTGTAATAAAATCAAGCCTGAATGATCAGTAGAAACTAAAAAAACTAAGCTGAGGGTATCGGACGCTTTAGACACAATAAGAACCATAAGAATATAAGAATCATAAGAATATAAGGTTCAGTACAGAGGCAATAATGTTAGGTAGAACTGAAAGTACTGTATTTCCCTGAAAATAAGACAGGGTCTTACGTTAATTTTTGCTCCAAAAAATGCAGTAGGGCTTATTTTCAGGGGATGTTTTATTTTTTTCGCATACAACAATCTACATTTATTCAAATACAGTACAGTCATGTCATCTTCTTCTGGTGGCTGCACAAGGGTGGAGGGCGGGGTTTCACTTAACTGGGGCTTATTATTGGGGTAGGGCTTATATTACGAGCATCCTGAAAAACCATACTCTGGCTTATTTTCAGGTTAGGTCTTATTTTGGTAGTAGGAAAAGAGGAAACCTAACATGAGAGGAATTCACTATAAAAAGGAAACCAAAGCTTTTAGTTTGCAGGACCTGCAATAATAATGCTGTTAATGGTAGGACATTTTGGAGGTTACTGATTTGCTCTTAAGTTGGAAGTGACCTGTTGGCACATAGCATGTAGCAATTTTAAATACATAGTTACTGCCCGAGGACATGATCCAAGCATATTGAATAAATACTTGTACAAAGTTCCTGTAACGTTCAGCCCTGCCCTCACCTGTCCGTCACAGCTGGGCAGTGGAACAGCAGCCAATGAGGGGACGGAAGGTGGTGCTAAAGGGGGAGGAGCTGGGATATAAAGAGGTGTGTATGGAGTTTGAGAGAGGGATAGAGTTAGAGAGTGAGATCTGGAGAGATCTAGTGTGTGAGAGAATGAGGCCTGCATGCCTGAGTGTCAGTGAGGGCAAGTCTGTGTGAGTTAGTGTTTTAGTAACCGTGATTGACAACTTGATTCTATGCCAGTGATTTACTCCTTTTATTTTGTACAAATCAATAAATACTTTATTTTGTTTGAAAGAAACCCTTGTCCTTTTTATTTAAAGGAAAGGTTGGTGGCAGCAAGAGTGTTTAGTGGCGTGGTGGGCATTCTGAGAGGCCTGAGTGGGAGGTGATCTCAGAGTGGCTCAGCCACGTTACAGTTCCCAATTTAGCTGTGATTTTAATTGAAAATGTTTAACGGCTTGAAGACAATCTTTTCTAAGCAGTAAGTATCTAAAAACAATAAAGTTGATTACATTACTAAAGAAAAAGTAGACAAAGCCAGAACCTTGGTCTGTTATTATTTTCAGCACTGCCAAGTCCACCTGTTAGAGAATCATGAGAAATTTAATGAATATTGATGACAAAATATTGTGAAGTGCATAGTGCCAAGCCAACTCCACAGCCTATACTGTCCCTTCCAAAACAAAAACAAAACACTCTAGGATATGGCTTTATAACTGGAAAGATTCTTCATGCCTGACTATGATACTCTATTTAGTGTTCTGTATTGTGTTTACAAATTACTCCTATCTGACTGTTAAATTGGTAATTCTACTACATTTGTGGGGATTTAATTTCAGCAAGAAGATTCTCACTCTGGGGTTGAATGAAGAAACACAACCTCATCCCAGAACACTACAACTTCAGAGAATGATCAGATATTCTGCTACACTTTTTGTACAGGTAGGTTGTCTATAATACATGATCTGTTCTTAGGCATAGAGGATGTCTCTAGAAACAATACAAGAAGAAATATAATTCACAAATGATGTTTTCCTAGAAAATTATGAAGATTGGCACCTGCTTTAAAGTTTTTTATACAAGACAGAAATGAATGACCTTTCAGTGTAGAAATCCTGTCCTTCCTGGGCAGTTCTTGTGCACCATAGGTGAGGTGCCATGAAGAAGCCTGACAAAGATTCCACACTGTTGATGGTGCTTGTTTGCTAGTTTTGCAAACAAGACTATTCACTTTTACATTGTACAGATTCAATAAAATGTATTCTACCCTTCAAGCATAATAATATGATGGGATTATTTTCTCTTTATTTCCTGTGACGTCTACTCCAGTTCCTTTATCTGAATATATGTTTTGCTCTTTTTTTGGTTTTAGCAAGCAGTATTCTCAGCATCCAACTTGCAGGAAGTATACAGAGTCATTTGACACATAGTAGTTCAAACACTGGCACTTTTAAGTACATATGAACCCGATCTACCCTTCTCCCATAAAAGGGTAGATGGGGTACTGTTTAACTCAGTGTGGTGTAGAGCAGTGTTCCCCAACCTTTTTTCAACCACGGACTGGTTGTGTGTGTGTGCCGCGCCCGCAGGGGGGTGGAGCTTGCTCACACACATGCACACGTCATGCTCGCGAGCAGGCACTCATAGGGGTTAGGGGATCTGTGTCTGCAGCCCGGTCCTGGATAGGCTGCGGACCACTTCTGGGTCACAGACGGGGGTGGGTGGGTTGGGGACCTCTGGTGTAGAGGATACCAAATCCCTGCTTGGCCGTGGAAACTCACTGGGCCGTGGCAGTTGAGAGCCAGTCCTTAAATATCTCACATGCTTTGAAAACCCTGTAAGAGTCATTGGATGTGAAAGGACAGCATGTAACATACATTTAAGAGCAAATTAAAGACCTGGCTCTTTAGGCAGGCTTTCCCTCCTGTCATCACCTAATGACTTTCCCATTTTGAATTATATTGCCACTGTTGTTAATTATATTGCTTTTCCTTTATGTCTTATTGTTAGCCATCCAGAGCAGGCTTTGGTCTAGATGGGCGGGGTATAAATCAAATAAATAAATAAATAAATTTAACTCACTGCATAATTAAGGCAGCTGTTCTGTACACATTCAGCTAGGGAAGCTAGGGCTTAAGTCAGAGAGTCAACTTGTTGAGTAAACATGTACATGATTGCATGGTAAGAAGTGGTGATGATCATGACCTCAGACTGACTTTAAAAGGATTAGATACATTCATGTAATGTTGGTAAATAAAACCAGCAGAGAATTCACTGGATGCACTGGTTTTGAGGTACACAACTTTAAAATAGTCTAGTACCAGGGCATTTGAAGACCTGCCTTTCTGAATGTGATCCTGTGTTAGTTTAAAGCCTTCCTCAAAATGTTTTCTTTGCTTTCAGAGATTAACAAGAGATGGATTCCACCTAGCACAGACATTTATCTCTTCTAAGTGTTAAGTGAAGAGTATTTTGTCTTTGTTAGTCCTGTTAATCAGTGGTACAAATATGTTAATTTGGCAATTAATATGAATGTTTCTATCTTTGATGCTGCTGTTCATGTTTGACTTTTTTTTCTTTAGCATATAAATCACATACGTTTTAACATTGAATTTTAAGCTGTGGAAGTGTTTTTGGTGAAGAGGCAAAATAAAATCATTAATTTAAAAAGTATAACTGTCTATGTAATTATATATTGTGTTATTCTTTTCAATGAAATGTTAAGGTATAAATATGATTTGGAGCCTAATAACTTGCACCTTTTAAAAGTAGTGGGTTCTCTCTCCTTAGGAAAAATTGCTTGGTCTGATGTCATTACCAACCCAAGATCAGTATGAAGAACTGAAAGAGAGAAGGAAACAAGAGCTGGATAGAAAATTGCAAATGGAGAGACAGGTGAATATATCTCTCAGCACTGGGATAATGCTTTTGAGAGCTCTTTTCTATCTTGCTATACATGGCTTAAAATTACTACCTCTTGGAATATTGTTCAAAAAAGCTTGTGTGACAAATGCATCTTAAGATATTTATAGGGTATATCACTTTCTCCTGCTTCTTTCCCGCACCTCTTGGGTGACACATTAATGTGTCAGGATACTGTGAAAGGAATCGACCTGTCTCTCAGAAACTGAAGCAGTCATGCTAAGAGGATTTGCTCTTGGCGAGCTGTGGCATGGGATCCTTACACCGCTGGCTCCTTTTAATGTCTGTTTCTCTTTCTTTTGGTTAGGCTACACTAGAAACACAGAGACGACTGAATGATAAGTCCATGGACTATGTTTCTAGATCCTTGGCAGCATCCAACGGTGAAGTATCATGGCCAAAACGGGCTGCAGTAAAGAAGACGGAAGGTTGGCTCCCCACTGCCAGCATCTCTCGCCAGCAAGAACTTGCAGACCCACTTCTTCAGCAGATTGACAATATAACATCTTTCATTGAGCAAGCCAAGGAAGCAAATCGTCTAGACGAGGTCCAGATGTTGCAGGAGAACCTACGGCAACTTCAGGATGAGTATGATCAACAGCAAACTGACAAAGCCATTGAGCTTTCCAAAAGGCAGGCTGAGATGGAGGAGATGCAGAGAGAGCAACTCCAGATCCTCTGTGAAAAAGAATGGGAGAGAGAGCACAAAAAAAGAATGTCTCAGCACTTACGGACTCGTTCCTTGGACTTCAGAGAAGTGAATTGTGATAAGACTGAGATAGGAAAAGAGAGCATAAACCAAATAGCACAGGCTTTGGATCTGGATACAACTCAAAACAAAAGTAACCCCAGCTCTAAAGCACCTTCCCCAAGTGGTGGTGCCAAACCACCAGCTTGTGAGAGCCCAGTCTTCCATGGTCAACCTGCAAGAATCCAAGAGCATGACAGAGTAAGAGAACAAAATATAATTGCCTCCCTAAACCCCTTTGAAGAGGAGGCAATAATTGGTATTCCAAAGAGGGAACCCAATAATCCCCTTGTTGAAGCTTCCCCTACAGTGGGAACGTCCTGGCCCTTCCAAGCTGTGGACACTGCTAAGAAAGAATACAATCCATTTGAAGAAGATGATGGTCAGCAAGCAAATGGTGTAGCAATCAGTGCAGCCAATCCCTTTGAAGATTTTGCTGGAAATCCCTTTCAGGTCCCCATAGGCCGTCAGGAATCTGGCAATCCATTTGAAGAACCTTCCTCCTCCTCCATGAATCCTTTTGAAGTCGACGAGACTCACGAAGTGTCAAGAGAAGACATCATAGAAGAGGAATTACTGCTCCAGCAGATAGATAATATCAAAGCATATATTTTTGATGCCAAACACAGTGGACGGTTGGATGAGGTAGAGGTTCTTACTGAGAATTTAAAAGAACTGAAACGCACATTAGCAAAACAAAAAGAGAAATCCAGCCGCTAGAGGCGGCACCATATCCATGCACACCCAACTTTACAGGTCCCTATTTTTATGCAGGGCTGGTGGTCAAAGGAGAAGCATGTTGCAAGAGACAGTTCTGGGGGTTGAGTCTATCTAATGCACTTTGGTGTAGGCACATTTACACTATTATTCAAACTTTGCAGATAATGTCCACATTATTTATAATGATGTAATATCCTAAATCTCTTCTACAGACACTTTAACAAATATTTTAAACTTAGCACAAACAATGTTTTTTGTCATATCACAGTTGTATGGTCTTTTTAAAGTAACCCCCTCCCCTTGATGTGAACAGAGGCTAATAGGGAAAGAGATGCAAGAAAATGTCAGCAGTCCTTCCATCTATGTTTAGTTGACTTGTGGATTCTGGCTGAAATCCCATTTAGTTTCCCTTTGCCAGTGAAAAGCTTATGCTAGCAGAAGAGGAAGGCAGGCCGTTCTGTCTGCATTGCTCCCCTTTATATGCTGCTCACAGTCCCCTAAATCTTTGTAGCAGATTTTGAGGGGAGCAGCATGAGGAGGAATTCTCTCTGCCTATTCCAAGGGCAGAAGCCTTCCAGTGGAGGAATGAGGATCTCGCCGTCTATGTCAAACATGAAATAAGATGGTGCCTTTAGCAGGTGTGCATAACTGACATATATGTTAATAGGAAGTGTTAATAGTAGGTTGCTGGTATGTACAACCTGCATAACAAAAAGGCCAGTGACCTGATGGTGCAATACAAAAACTAAAGGGATTTACGTAGATATGGGTAACTGTTATGTTATATGAATAATTTTTCTTTGAGAAGACTTAAACCCCTGTAGCCTGTATTTAGGTAATATGGTTTATTTCCTCTCCCCTTCCATCTCTTTATCAGGTCTTATATATATATATAAAAAAGCTTAAACTTCAGTGGCTTGGAATTCTGCATCTTTTCACCCTCTTACACAACTACAATTTCCAAAATTACAGGGCTAATAGAAATGTTATGACAGCTATGCTGTGTTCTGGTTGCACTGGAGACATGACCTTTCAATTGAAGGTTTATACTAATAATGGAGCTTTATGGTGATCAGTAGAGTCACCACCTTTTCTCAGCAATTCAAACATGTTTATGAGTAATCTGGCCTTTTTCACCATGTTCAAAGCCACCCATAAGCTCAAACATAGGTTGCAGAGAAAAATATGACATGTCATAGAAATCCTCCCCCTAGTGATTAGACTGTTGAACATCAGTGGGAGCCTATGGTTGATTTGGACATAAGTGAACAAATGCTGACCTGCCCTTGATTTTTAACTAACATTTAACTGCTTCTGTTGGGGATTGAACTGACAAGCCAAATATAATAATAATAATAATGTAATTTGTTCCCTTTATAAACCCATAGTCAGTGAGTCATCTTCAAGAGAGCAGGAAACTAAAGACTGAGTTTGCATGCTACCAAACAGTGTTGCTGTGCAGTTTTCATTTGTTGTTACTGCCACTCTCATGAGGCCTGTGGAAGCTCATGCCCTGTTGTTCTAGTGACGAAGCATGTGTGCTGGCTGTTGAAAAACTGGAGATGCCATCCTCTTTTCAGCTGTGAATGGGGATTTTGAGGAAAATGTAAAAGAATAGTAGCTGTAGAGCTGTGTAAGTTTCTGTTCTCACATTGTACTGAATGAATTTGATTTCAGTTTTATGACATGGCTAAAAATGATAAAAGAATTGAAACGGTGTATGTGAGGAGTGTGCCAGAAGAGTATTGTGGACTCTTCATAGCCCAAATTGGCTGTTGTTAAGAGCAGAAGGATGGTTCAGTAACTGACAGCTGATCCAGTGTCATAACCAGAGATCCTGCTCCATTCAAAAACGCTGGCATACATGCTAACAGAAGGGGAGAAAAGATTAATCCAAGAATAGTGGGACACTAATAATTAGTGAACTGAAGACTTGCTAATTAATGGAAACTGGCTGGTTGGCCTGTAAGATCCTCAGAAAAATGTTTACAGTTTTTGTTAATAGGTGGTCAATATGGTCAAGAACTAAGGCAGCACTTTACATATGAGACTATGTATTACGTTTTAATCTTTTGGTGGGTTTGGCAGACCTTTTTTAAAAGAAGAAAACATTCCTGTTTTGCTCCCTTCCCCCCCCCCGCCCCATTTGGAGGGAAAACTTGGCTTAACTACAGCCAGTTTGACGGAACAGGTCTCAGTGAAAGCTGCTACTTCTCATTGATAGCTTGTTTTAATAAGTATGCAGAGTAGCATTCAGCCTTTCTGTGGAAACTGACCTGAGTGCAGCACTTGGGGCTACAGCAGTAAGAAGAGATGCATATGGTTTTTAAAGAAATTCTTTTTTCCTAATCCGGAGGAACTGGCTGTTGATTTGCAGTGTATGTAACAAAACTTAAGAGGACTGAGAAGGAACAGGTAATTACAGTAGGTATCTGGCAAAATGCAGCGAGAAATAGATGCACTCAGTTTTAGTGACCTTTATAGCTATTGAAGGACTACCTGCCAAGGAGAAGTGATTTGTCTAAAAAAAACACCACCTATATTTATTATAGACAGGAAAACACGAAACTCCGCTGGTATTTTTTGTATATTCTGGCCAAAATAAATGTTTCAGTGGCTTTTTAAAAGCATTTCTAATATTGTTCCTTGTTACATACATTCTGCCTTGTTTATATGAATTCCACAGTCTAAGACATAATTAGAGCATTGATGTACTTTTGCTAGTATGTTGGTTTGTAGCTCCATGACTGCAGGTCAATGTGAAATGTAACTAGCCTTCTTGATAGGATGATGATAGACCCACATTTTGTCAGCCTTCCATTTGTACTACTGAATTTACACTATGAAAGAGCAAAACCATGCCATTGTGAGATTTAACATTAATGACATTTGTTTATACATTTGCATGCACTTCTCTAGTTTGCAAGCTTTCTGATTAAATAAAATAACACATTTGTTCTGTTTGTGTATGGGTAGACTGATTTTGCCCTATTAAATACTAGGTGAAACGCAGCTGCAGTTCTGCAGCAAGCATTTTCCAAGACACCTACAGGCTTCCTGACATGTTCTGAATAGCAGATAAGATTTTGCCTTATAATCAGGAAGACCACTGGTCTGTTTTCTTTATTGACCATTTGGATGTCAGTTAGATGCCTTTCCTAGCTGTGTGCAAAAGATGCTGTGGCTTGAAACTGGGCCCTTCTGTTTACAGAATATATGCTATACTCGTGAACTTGCTCATCCCCAAATAAAGTGGGAGGTGTAATTTGACACTATCAAAAGACACCACCCAATGCAAAAGTATTTTCACTTCAGTACAGCAGGATCATTTTAACTCCTAAAAGAAAACCTTCATTGCAAAACAGGAATCTTAATTCCTGTAACGTTTAACATTTGAACCAAAAAAGTGAGATAAAAACTGTTTTGCTAAGTAAAGTCTGTTTGTTCTAACTATTTAATAGCTATAGTTGTGTTTTTCACATAAGTTGGCGTGACTGTCCTAACTCCTTGAATACAATTAATCTTGTTGGACTTGTAGAGCTTGGATGAAAGAACAACAGAAAATTATTAATGATCTCGATGTAGTGCTTCATCCTGCCTGAAACCCCAGAAGGCTGCTACATCAGAATTGACAGTACCGGACAAGAAAGATCCAATTACCTTACTGGTATATGACATAACCTACAGCATATACATGCATAGCCTGTCTGGGAAATAATGTGTTAAAGCCATAGGCATGTCAATCCTAAATAGCTGGTTATGTTATGGAGAACCCATCCCATCAAGAGCATGAACACACTGCACAGACCAGATTCTGTAGTTTGTCAGCTGTGTTGAACAAGAAAGGATATAATTAAACCAGGGATGAATTAAAATTTATTCTCCTTTGATTCAAAAACAGGATGCATATACAAAATATGTACAAGACAAGAACAAACCATGGGTTTATTTGAAAGAATTCTTATTTTAAAGTCCAGCTATTTTATTGCCATGTAAGTAGTCCATTACAGATGTGGTAGTCGGTCTACAAATGGGTGGTTTCATGTCAGTCTGAATACTTCAGTCAATACTTGCCATAAGAAAGCTTCATGTTACATTGATTCACTGTTTTTCATGGCAGTTTTATACTTGCCAGTCATCTCCTTTGGCAACGGCACTTTGCCAGGGCAGGGCACCTGTCCTTCAATTTCACACATGCATTCCCGCAAGTGGTATTTTCTGGGGCCAAATGTTGCAGGATGGCATAGCTTTATTTTTTCTTCTTCTTCTCTCTGGAGCGTTTCCCTATCCAAGAAAGACAAATTAGCCATGAGAAGGATAACGGAAATGGGTGGGGCAGGGCAGGAAACCCCTCTGGCCCACAGTTGGCTGGAGAAAGCCATCTTTGCCACTATATCTGATCTGTGTCCAGAAATAATAGTGGGGATTGCCCCATGTTGGGTCAACCTCCTATGCAATACACAGTCTACTTCTGTAGTTGTTGTGGGAGCGTTCCCTCTTGTCTGGGAAAGGGAAAGAGAAGCAAAGCTGGCTGCTCTAAGCAACAGTGAAAATACTCTGTCCCTTCCCTATGCTTGTGAAATGAATGATCAACACACCACAGCATCCTAACTGCTCTGCATTCAAAGAATTCTTGTAATTTCAAAAAAATAAAAATAAAAATAAATAAAATTAAATTAAAAAAATAAAATCTAGGACTTTTCAATACTTTACTGCAGCAGCATTTTTTCCTCTGACATGCTCCAGCCCCACTTCACTTCATAGTCTATCTATTTTAAAGGTGGTGCTTTATATGCAGCCTTCATAGATTTCAAATCTGCTTTTGATCTCATACCAAGGGAACGCCCGTGGTCTAAATTTGAGACCACAAGTATCGATAAACAGCTTCTCCTGTTAATGTGGCAACTTCATGAAAATACGCATTTGTGGGTTCTTTGTAACTGCGGGGGTCTTATCCAACCAAGTCCCTGTGCTTAATGGAGTGAGATAAGGATGCATACAAGCCCCCACCTTGTTTAATTTCTGTATCAATGGCTTAGTTGGAAATTTAAGTAACCACAATTTTCACCAACCCAAACTTGCCTCTCTCACAATTTCAATTCTACTTTATGCTGATGATGCCGTTTTATTGTCAACTACAGTGCTGCCTCGCATTACGACGTTAATTCGTTCCAGTGAAATCGCTGTAAAATGAAAAGTCGTAGTGCGATTTTAAAAAGCCCATAGAAATGCATTCAAACCCGATTAATGTGTTCCTAGCGGCTTGAAACTCACAGTCCAGTGAAGATCCTCCATAGCGCGGCCATTTTCACTGCCTGTGCAGCGAGGAATCCATGCCAGAAAAGAG